CAAGTTATTGATGAAATGGGAGCGGGTGGTACGCCTACCACAAGTTTTTGATGAAATGGGAGCGGGTGGTACGCCTACCACAAGATATTGATGAAATGGGAGCGGGTGGTACGCCTACCACGAGTTATGATGAAATGGGAGCGGGTGGTACGTCTACCACGAGATTTGATGAAATGGGAGCGGGTGGTACGCCTACCACGGAAACATTGAGAAATGGGGTCGGGTTGCACGCCTGCAACGAGATGTGTACTGACAGTGAAATCTGCTTTTATTTCTCTTATCCGTGTTAGAGTTAATTTATTAATGTTCCTTATTATTCTCTTGAAATTCTGTATTATCTGCTATCCCCGAAGCATGTTCCCCTCCCATTTAAAATGTTTATTCTTGTTATTTTCCCACTGTATATGTACATATATATATAACTGCAGGTTTATGTGGTAGTCCGGTCTAGCCTCGTCACTACTTCGCCGGGGTTCGGCTAGGCACTTACCAGCACATGGGGTCGGTTGTGTTGATGCTACACTCTGTGCTCTTTTGCACAGATCCAGGTGTCGGAGCAGCTTTCGATGCGCAGCAGTAGTCAGGGAGCCGACCATCAGTCCACGAGACTCCGAGGTAGCCTTGCTGGCGTCCGCAGGCCCGGCGTCTCTTCTTTCAGTTTTCATGTTCTGTTGACACTTGTATTCGAAACAGACTATGTCCTTTATTTCAAACTCTTATTTGTAGTAATCCTAGACAGTCCGTGTATTATTGTGACACCAGGTGCTGGGTAGAGACTTGTATTGGCTTTCTAGACGCTGTTTCTATATTTAGTTCAGACTTCCGCTAAATTTTACTTTCCGCTGTCTTTAAACTGCTTATTCATTGATAATTTAATTGTAAATCATGTATAAAACGAGATAGGTTAATGTTTGCAAAGGTTCTTGGCTTGCCTAGCTACCACGAGTAGGCGCCATCACGACTCCCGAGGGTGGGAAATCCGGATCGTGACATAAGTATATTGGAACTCCAGTGTATGAACTTTCAGCATATTATGCTGGACCGATATATTATACTGGAACTCCGATATATTATACTGGATCTCCGGTATATTATGCTGGAACTTTCCGTGTTGCAGTAAAATAGTTGCTATTTTTCAATGACTTTGCAAATGCTGGCTATTTTTGAATGACTAGTCCGAAAACTGGCTAGCCCATGCTATTTTTACCAAGTTAAATGTTTTGTTCTACGAAGATTTTACCGAAAAAAACCCGAATAACCCGAAAACCCGAGAAAATCCGAGATTGAAAAACCCGAGTTTTATTGGTTTGGTTTGATCTTCAGATTTAATAACCTAACACAATTGATTTGGTTTTGTAATTGTAAAATCCGAACCAACCCGACCTATTAGGAATAGAAGTAACTGATCCTACTATTTTCCTAATTGCTACTACAAGCTTTCATGATCCAAGCGAAATATACATAACTGAAATTCAACATCGACAAATGTATAGAAATCAATTTCCATGGGATAAGAACAACTCCAGACATCATTCTAAAGATAAATCAGTGTTGATCAGGCTTGTCAAAAGGAATAGAAGCTGCATTCTAAGTTTACAAACAAAATGGAAGATAAACAGGCGAATCCAAGATTGTAACTTGACGGGTTCGACCTTTAAAGTTGAAGAGTTCACAAGGCTCATGCACTAGAAGTAGTTAAACAACTATGGCAAGCCAGAGAATTGAGGACACAGGTTCCAAAAACAGGTGGCCTCATTCTTTTGGGGTCTGCAACAGGAATATCCATTCTATCCAAACAAACAGAATAAAACATGGCCAAACTACCCTTGAGAAATGATCTTCTAGTACATAAAATTTGTATCTACGATCTTAATTTGGTGGCAGAAATATGATACAACTTCCACCTACCTTGTAACAACATACAAGCTCAGAAGATACTCTTAAGTAGTTCACGTAATCGCATTTTAAGTGACTAGATTCAGAACGCTTACAAAAATAAACAGCTTTCATATCTTGAAGTGGAGATCTACCTCGTGCTTTTTCTCATAATTAGCTAAAGAAAGCAACATGGAGTGAAGTAGACATACTATGTCTCCAGTTATTTTATGTGGCAACTACTGTTCCGCCAAGCACTAATAGGAAAAAGCAATAAGCATCGGAAAGGAGTAATCAAAGTTAAAAGAAAAGGCAGCTGCGAGCAGCTACGAATTATCAATTCTGGTCTCGAGCATAAACAATGGAGTAACATTAGCACCAGAATGATTACTCTCCATAGAGATTTTCAACAAAGTGTTTAAGTCCGCTATGAGATCACTCAATTTACAACAAGCAGGACTCACCTCTACATGACACTAAACCACGAGACAGCAGAAATAAATTCTTATCAGAAGATTAGGGAAAATAGCCCAAGATAGCTGTATCATGCTGTCCAATGCTGTTAGCCTGTTACCAACAGCTATTTGATATTTCATATTCATCTGAACAATCTTGCTTTATATGCGACTGCTGCCATCATGTCTTCACAGACAACAGCTTACCTCAATAAGAAATACAGAACTGAGGAAAGTCGAGCTCTTATGCAACCACGGAGTAGAGCAGCTTTTTTAGAGAACTACATTGATCAATATACTTAGAGAATGTTGTTACCATTGACTCCGAGGTCCATTATGACATTAATGCTCCCAAATTGACATTTCCTTCATTATTCATCACTAGTAGCCGACAGGGGTTAAATTAGACAGCAACATGGAGGCTGACAAGAGAAACACAGTGCTAACCACAACATAATTACACCTGTAGAAGTTCGTCTAAGTGAACAATTTCAGCACTGACACTATGCACCAAATTCATAAAAACACAGCTGACTTTGACCTGAAGACAGTAATAGGCTGGAAAGTGGATTCATAGTCTTGTAAGGACCAATACAAAAAGATACTAAAAACTGAAACACCACTTATCCAATAAAAGGTTCTAAATCAAAGACTCAGGTATTATACAGAAGACAGTTTCCAGATATATCCATAAGCCAAATTAACAGGATAATTGCATAATGACAAATCAACAGTTACCCTGAATATTAATCATCCCCAGTTGGAAACAAAGTAAGAACCTTTCTCCCATTAGCAGCTGTAGCTGATTCCACATCCTCAACATAAGATGGCACCATAGGCCTACTACTATGCACTGATGTTCCCATTCTTTGAACCTGCTGCTGCGACTGCCGCGACAAGAATGGAACCTCAAACTGCCCGTTTGGTGGCGACCGAAATGCCTATACTGTTGCTGAAGCTGTGGAGGGTGTCCAACAACTGCAGCCATCTGATGATGATGCTGCATTGCTGCCACTGGCACGAACGGCATATACTGGTCAGAATTACCCCTCCCCGGATGCAAAAAATGTGGAGGCACTGGCGAACTAGCAAACAGTTGATCTGTTGCTGTATCCACCATCCCTCCCCCGGATAAACCCGGTATACTGCCATTACCATTGCCACTGCCACCATTAGAAAGTCCCTGCATACGTTTCAAATATAGCCTATACTTCTGCAAATGACTAGCCACATTCTCACGAGTTAAGCCATCTACACTCATCAACTGCAGTACAGTTTTGGGGACAGCATTCTTGATCCCCAAATGAGCAGCTGCATCCACAAACCTCTTGTGGAGCTGTGGGGTCCACACAAGCCTAGGCCTTTTTAGGTGCGGGCAGGTTCATCAACGCCCCCTGAACCTGCAGTGCCACCCAACTCGGCCGAGTCAAACTCGGCTGATGAGTTAGGGTGAGATGAAGGTGTATGAACTCCTACTGGTAGAGTACTCTGCTGGTGTTGTTGGTGGTGGGTTTGGGGAAGCGGACTATTGGGGTTTTTAATATCAAAAGCTAATGCTAAATCAGGAGTGATTAGGGTTTGGGATAAAGGCATTAGCTCCTCAGGAGAAGGAAGTTCTTCTTCCCACTTCGCAAATCAATTAGAATCTTCTTCCCTCATTTCACTAAACCTTCAAGAATATTCTAAATTACAAGATTTTGGACCAATTGACAATTGAACTGAAAAAATGAGTCTTTTTAACAGATGGGGTTGGAGATAGAGAGTGTAAAAGTTGAAAAAAATCGGATTTTTCGTCTCCTTTTTGAAATTCAGATTGAAGAACTTAATTGATAAATGAACTTGAAACACAAGGTAGGAGCAGGAGAAGGAATTTCTTTTTTAGAGAGTGGAATTGTGATATAAAGCATAAAACTTGAAAGGATTAGATTTTTCTGAGATGGAGTTGAAATTATTTCTGCGGTCAATGATCTCTACTTCTTGGAAATTCAGATTGATGGACTAATTCTAACAAATGAACTGAAGACTAAGGTAGAAGAAGATTAAAAAAGGAGTGTTTTTGAGAATTATTGTCTTAACACTTCAGCTACCTAATGACAATTATTGTACCCCACATCCCCAATACTAGCTCCCATTTTCTTGTGAATTACATGATACAAACCTAAAAATTGAAAAAACAGAGAAGGGCAGCTCGGTAGCGAAATTCCTGCATTCACGTAGGATTCAGGAAAGGGTCACATCCAAAGTGACTGATTCCACAACTCGAATCCGTAACTTATAAGTCACACGAAAACAATTTTATTATTGATGCAAAGCTTCCCTTCGCTAATTGGAAAAAGAAACGTCATCCTACTAATAGATAAAATGTAATACTAATAGAGAGCCAGAGACACACACCAAAATCCTAAAACAAAACAAGAATAGCTTTCTAGACTCTAATGAAACGTTAAATACATTCCCAATATATAGATATATATATATATAGAAGTTTGCTCATGAAGATGAAGCTGTATCGAGAAAAGAAATAGCACTAGACTACATATATGTCATGAGGATGGTTGGTTTCAAAGGACAATTGTATTATTATTACGAGTTCATATCCGATAAGTTTGTGGAAAAGAATAACGAAAGAAAAAGAATTATTATAAAACATTTTGGCTTTGAAGTTGGCAATAGAAGAAGGATCCTTTTTTTGTTAGATGTAGTGCATTTTCAAAGTGACATTGCAAAAAGAAATGCTAAAATCTTGTAGTTCAAGACCTTAGGCTAGCGTAGCAATAAAGTGTCTTAACTTCGACAGTCCTAGTGAAAACTTTAGATTTCGCGAAGCTCTTTGAATTCCCAACATGAAATCCACATAACAGGAACAGTCTCATTGCTATTTCTCGATTGAAAGTTCCACCTCTAAATGTATGGTTTTCTTTAAATATAAGAAAATATCAGCAGCTTAGCAGCCTTGACATCTTATTGTAGGTGTAAAGAGCTAAAGAAAGTGTTTACTTCTCAATAACTCGTTTAGCTCCATCCAAGGTATTCTTGAGAAGCATTGCAACAGTCATCGGTCCTACACCTCCCGGAACTGGAGTTATCCATCCAGCTACATTACATGCTTCCTGAAAATCGACATCTCCAACAAGCCTATATCCTGACTTCCTAGTAGGATCATCAACAGCATTTGTCCCTACGTCAATCACTGCAGCACCAGGTTTGATCCAGCTGCCTTTGATCTGAAAAATAAGGAGCGACTTGGTTCAGAGGCCAGTCATCTATGGAATAAAAATCAGCACTTGCTGAATGGTTTTATTACTGCCATAAGCAGGGTTATATTTCATTGAGAAAGCTCTATTGCAAGGGAATAGTAAACAAAGAATTAATTAATAGAAGCAAAATGATTACAAAAAGGAGGGTGAGAAGGGAGAAATGAATGCTTCTTGTTACCATCATAGCTTGCCCCGCAGCAGCAATAATAATGTCTGCTTCACGAACGATTTTTTCTGGTTCCTTGGTGCGCGAGTGAACTATAGTAACAGTGGCATTTTCCTTCAGAAGGAGCAGAGACACTGGTAATCCAACAATGTTACTTCGACCAACCACAACTGCATTCTTCCCCTTTATGCTAATCCCACTCCGATGTAAAAGCTCGATGCATCCCTGTTTAGCAGAGACCAGATAGGGTGCTTTTAGAAGACAACAACAGATGGTTGTATATAGATAGTATAGATTTGAACATTTATTCTTAAATAAGGCAGGAGAATTAGAGAACTGGATGTTTCGATCTTCCATAATAAAAATATTAGTTGTCCTCAGAATTACCTTGGGCGTGCAAGGGAGGAACAGAGGTTGTCTGTCTTTCATTGCAAGCTTGCCAATATTCAGAGGATGAAAGCCATCTACATCCTTTTCCAGACTGATTTCACCTAGAACTCTCTCTTCATTAATATGTTTTGGTAACGGAAGCTGTACCAGTATACCTGTAGCAATGCACAGAGTGCCTTTAGTTCACTTGTCTTTGTTATGCATCATTGATATTCTACCCCACACATTTGCTTCTCAACAATATACTTGTGGAGCATTACCAATAAACCAAGAGTGGAAATGCTAACTCAAGGAAAAAGAGAAAAAGAGAAGATAAGAAACATCTCAGCGGCAGTCAGGAAAAACTCGCAAAAACCCCACCTGCTGAGTGAGAATATAAGAGATTCTACAAGGTGAAACCTACTTTAAAAAAGTCATGGTAAGAAGCGGTGTAAATAGAGTAGCAGCAGCAGCAGCAGACACCTATATGTATAGGAGTGTCTAGCAGGTAAGCTCTAGCCAAGTTGAAGTCAGAACTACAGAAGTCAAAGTGTAGGAATGAGATATTAGATAGGTGGTACCTTTCAGACACAGCATATTAGATATGCGATCTGATCTGAGGATTTCACAATATGTCAAATACACTTAATATACTAACTGATTATGCAGTACCCGCTTAGTACCAACGTCATAAAGCAATATGCAGGTTGCATAAATGGCTGGTCACTATAGATGCAACTATGTTGCCAACAATTAACACAATTGAGTTTGTCCAACAGAGCAATTTCATTCAGAATATTTTGCATTGAGCCAACAATAGCTAGGACCTTAAGATTTTCTTCTTGACTAACTACCCAGGCATGGACAATGTTGGCTAAAAATAACCTGGTTGTGTACAAAAATAAAAGTAGGAGCATGGATGACAAATTAACATCTGCAATATGTGCAAACCAAGTACAGACAAACAAGGCTAAATTTCCCCCACTCAAACAACATAAGTATAAGAAAGCAAAAGGCCAGAAAGATTAACTTCCTACTATCGCCAATGACTAACCATGTACATCAGGATTAGCATTCAGCTCGTGGACCTTGCTAATCAATTCATCTTCAGCTACGTCCTCTGGGAGATCTATGTCAAAAGATTGAATGCCAAGCTCAGCACAAGATTTTCTCTTCATATTCACATAACTTTGAGAATCCTTCCTATTTCCTACAATGACTACTGCCAACCCAGGGACCTGAAAATAACAATAAACTTGGATACTTGAATTCCGCATGAGCCATGAAAAAATACAATTTCTGATTAAGAACATTGCTTCACCAGCTTCAAAATTCAAATACATCATATACACATTAAAGCATGCACGTAGTCTGTGAATTATCTTCATAATCCACGATATAATTACCAGATTAATAGGAAAATCTGCGTACATGCATTCGCTTAAGCATGCAGATACACATGTCAGGGAACTAACCTTGCCATACTTTTCTGAAAGGAGTCGGACTTCAGAAGCAATCTCAGAACGAATAGTTTGAGCAATTGCTTTACCATCAATGATGGTAGCCTTGTGATCTGACGGCGATGCCATTGTTTCTTCAAACGAGAGATAACTTCCCTATAATTTCAGGACTGCTAGTTTCATAGCAGAAAAGATATGTTAAACCAAAGGGTTGGACTAGGGTAAGAGTAGGCATATTCAAAGTCAATATTCTACTACATAATTCAGTACCAATCCAAAACATATTAAGCAGCTATCGATTTACTTCAGCTATAGTGATATTTCAAAGTATATTGTGATTAGCGTGGTGCCTAACAAGAGTGTGGCTTTCAGAAGGCTAATATATGTCTGGCTAAAGTGTATTTGTGGACTGATGAGTGCATTCTTTCCCTACTTCAGAGGAACAAGTGCACTACTTTTCCTAAAGTTCCATTAGGAAGAAAAAATCATTTAGAGATGGAGCTTTAAAAGGAGTGGAAAAACTAACAGATTTGATTGACTGTTTGTTTGCAAGCTTAATGTTGAATAACAGGTCTTTTCAATTTTGAAGCCTAATTAAAGATGATTAAGTTCGGTTTTGATTTGGACATGAATATAATCTTGTTCAGCCAAATTTAACATTGAAACTTTCATTACCTCAGTATAGCGGTAGCTCGTAGAGATGCAAGGTGCAGATAAGCACAACTTATTATGACAGGCACAATTTTAAGAAAAGCAAACCTTGCACCACAGTGCTCTATAACTGTAGGTGAATTAGAAAATTCAACAATTAAGGTCCATTTTCAAGTAGTAAAGTGTTCATATAACAATGCTGGTAGTTGGTTCTGCTACAGAAGCCATTGAGGTTTTTAAAGTAAACTTAAAGGTCCTCAATTGGGAGGAAAAAACTTTTGTAGCCTCCTTATTTGAATTTTTCATATAAACTAATTGGAGATAACCCCAATTCAAAGTGACTTCCTCTAGCATTGATAGCTCGAAATATCTCAAAGCTTTTCTCAATTATTTAGCCAGCTTTGGGTTACATGCTTAAGTTTAGCACCTTCAACCAGTAAATAATCAACTACGTCTCAATCCCAAACTAGTTGGGATCAACAAACCATATGACCCTCTATATCCATTTTGCTGCTCTCTTGCCCTTTTCATTCCAATACTTGGAAATAATTACTGTTATAATCACACTATATAATGCTGAAAAGAATAGTCAATCAAACCCACTTAATTTCAGATAAAAATTCAGTTTTCCTTCAGGAAGCAGCAAATAATTCGGCTCCGTATATGCAATTTCATCCTAAATCTCAGTACATACAATTTTAATTCAGTAGCAGATTGTCAATTTCACAATACCATTTAATACATATATCCCCACAGAGCAAAATAGATATGGAGGATTCGTATAGCCAATCCCAATTTGATTGATTGATTGATACCTTCAATAAATGTGATTCGCATAGCATACAGCTTAATTTTAGTAACAACATTCTGAAATACTTACAGCAAAGAAAATCTTGAAATTGTAGCATAGAAATTGGGTCGTCGGATCTGTAAGAAAAATTGGAAAAATTGGCACCCTTTTTAGATAAAATATTCTTTTTGCAGGAAGAGGAGCTGACAATCGCGGGTAGGTGAGTCGGAGAGGATAAAAGACAATCGGGGGTAGGAGCTGACAGAAGCGAACCGTAGAAATTTGAGATTTTTGGGTACCCAATGTGAAAAAAATGAAATTTTGAGAACTAGATAATTTGAAAGTAAAACGCAAGCCATCTCCGAGGCTAGCACCATTTCTTGCGCCAAATTTCACACTAAAATGATGTAATACTAAATTTATTTCAACCATTACACTATTTTTTACACCAAATCTTCTCTCTCTTTTATATTATATTATTATCTTTTATTTACTTTTCATTTTTTATTTCCTTCAAACTAATACTATCTTTTTTCTTTTTTCCATATTCATTATATATAATTCACATTCACCACTTATATAATCATATTTATTACAAAATTATTTTAAAGAATAAATTAACTAAAAGTGAAATCATTGATAAAAGATAATTAAATAAATATTACATCATAGTCAAATTTAATTTAAGTACCACATAAATAGTTAATTTTCGCCTCTATTCTCCCATAAATGCTCGATTAATGCATTACGAAGTGCGAAATGCGCATCTTTATCCTTAAATGAAGCTTCGAGACAGAAAGAATACAAAGAAGAAATAAAATTTTATTGACGAACTTGAATTCCATTGAAGATCCAAATCTTCGTGAATTTTTGCGACAAGAACAAAAACGAATAATCGATAAAAGAAGTCAACAATTTGAACAACCACAACCACAACAATCTTCTACCCCGTTCACTCGGTATTTTGGTAATTATGGTGCACCTGGAAATGACATAGGGGATTACTAAACTTATGTTTTATGTTTTTAATGTAATTTCAATTTTAATGTATCCTCCTTTTATGTACTTTAATTATAATGTATTTTTATTTTATGTATTGTTATTTTTAAATAATGGTTGTATTTCTTTTTATACAATTATAACAATAACAAAATTAACTTATAATTTTATATAAATATAATATATACAAAAATTAATATATCAAAAAATAGGATATAAAATTAAAATTATAAAGATCTTAATATAAAAATTAATTATATACTCAATATATGATAAATTAAAATTACAAAAATAAAAAGATTGAATAAAATATTAATAAATCAAATATAGAGTGATGAATAGTGTTGCACCAAATTTGATGCAACACTATTCATGCTCTATAATAGTGCAAGAAATAGTGTTGCATTAGAGCAAAAAAATACCATTTCTTGCACTAAATTTAAATTTAGTGCAAGAAATAGAGTAGCATTGGAGATGGTCTAAATACAACATACATGCTTTAAAGGGGATCACGTGCGCTCCTTAGCAGGATGAGATTAAATATGTACTACTAGTAGAATCTAACCCAGCAATCCACGTGTCAGCCTTGTCTTTGTTTGTTTTATTTCTTTTTTCTTAAAAATGACTACAAAAGGTAAAAACATGCTACGAGCAAAAATCGAATCGCTGAGTTCCAAGGCTTCAAATGAAGCCCCTTACCGCAGGATTATCACTCTCTAGGAATGGCAGGCGGTGCGGGTGCGGGACGGGTTCTGTCTGAACCCGCAAAATTTAAACCCGCTCCGTCCCGTCCCGCATAGGATTTAAATCCGTATTCACCCGCCTCACACTTTACTCGCGTTCTCCCGCCCCGCCCCGCATCCGCATTTTTTTTTTTTAATGAAATTTCTTTTTTTTTAGTAAGCTAGACTTAAATCTGATTTTTTACTACATAGGCCAAATTTTTTACATGTTTATGTTTTGGCAATTACTAATTGGCCATACTTTTATGTGCTATAATTGTCTGTTTCCTCTTTTCACCGCATGTGAGTAGGCAAAGTGATTTTATTATTGAATTGAAAGCTTGTCTTTTTTTAAAAAAAAATTAATCTAGCCGCAAAGTTAACTTGTAATATGGCTTCTTTATTTCACAAGCTTTAGATAATTTAGCCTTCTTTTTATAGCTAGCAATTCACAAGATATTAAAATAATAAAGTTGTTCTATAGATTATGGGGAAAAACTGAAAACTTTAGACCTAAACAGCAGTTGAACCAATGGGATCAAGAAAATAACATTATGTTGTAGAGGTCAGATTGCATAAATCCCAAGTAAAGAGGTGTATTCAGAAACAAAAAACAATATTATAAGATGCAGAAAGAATTTTACAAGCTATCATAAGAATTGATGGCTACAATAGCCATACATAATTGCAATTGCAATGAAACCACAAGTATTAAAAAGCATTGATTATAGTTGAAGGTTTACTTTTTTAAAAAGATTATTTCATATCATTTGCAGACAAATATGTAATCCAAGCCTCTGCAATCATAAAACTAGGTTAAGCAACATCNTTTATGGTGAGGATAGTTTTGTCTTGAAAAAATTAATTTTCTACTTCTGCTTCTGCTTCTGCTTCTGCTTCTTGGAAGAAGCTAGTTTTCTGCTTCTTCCCAAAAGCAGAAAAACTGCTTCTGATGCTGGCAAAAAGTACTTTTCTGTATTGGCCAAACAACTCAAATTTTTTAAAAAGTACTTTTTTGGGGGAAAAAGTACTTTTGGCCTCCTAGAAGCTTGGCCAAACTGGCTCTAAATTTTATTTATTGTGTGCTTAGTATGTGGAAGTCATTTTCCATGAAAAATGTGTATTCCTAGAAAATATTTTATAAAAAATAATTCTAAATATTTGGTTGGCGAGTAAAAAATACATATAATTATTAATAATATTAGTAAATTAGAGAGCATTGAAATGAAACTTTTGAGCAACCGAGATTAATAATATGTTCAAAGTTAAATGTTGTAAAAAAATCCTCCAATAAGTGAAGAAAGTTATTTTTTTCTGTAACTTTCCTCTCAACTCCATTCTTCGATTCTTCCTCTCTTACAGTTGAATCTTGTCTAATCAAACGCCGCCAGCAATCAGAACCCTAGAATCTACAAACGGAAGACGATAGACATATTTTATCTGTATTTTTTTCGTGTATTCTTCCTATAATCTACAAACTGAAGACGCTAGACATATTTCCACCAGTTTAGATCCCGATCAGAAAATTTCCTTCTCAAAATCAGTAGCCAAGGTGCGTAAAAATTGTGAAAACCCATTTGCTATTCATGATTTTTCGTCTTTTTGTAGGAGTTTGATTTTTGTATTACAGCTTGCACTAAGTAGAACCAGAGAAACTGCCTTCAATAGATATTCATAGAACTTGCATTTTTTTATCGTGTATAAATGAAATCTCGTCGTCGGTCTCTTTCATATTAAACAACCATTGTTGTAATTTAGAGTGTCAAGGATTATTGTTTTTCTTTCTTGGTATTTTTCTCTGCTTTTAAGGATTATTTTTCAAAATTATACTGGTTTTCATTTCGGGGTGTTTTTTTCTCTTCTTTTAAAAATGATCTCAAAAGATATAAAAGGGATTTTTGACTTTTAAAAGTGATCTCAAAAGATATAAAAGGGATTTTTGGCTTTTAAGGGTAATTTGAAGAAGATATTGGTTTTCATTTCTGGGGTTTTTTTCTTCTCCCCCCTTTCTCTTGGTTCCGTGGGTGTTTGCGTGTTTTGCAGGTATCACTTTTGGGAGGTGCACGCGCACAAACAGTAGAGTTGTAGCTATACACCGGGTTCCGCAACATCGGGAGTATACCAAGTCGAGAATTCCAGGTTCTATTTGTGGGAATTGGTACCTCCCGCCTCTTGTTTCTCTATCCCCTGTGTTAATTACTTTGTTGCCGTAGTATTTCGTACTAGTCTAGTCAGTCTATTGGGCTTGTAGTTACTATTTGCTCTCTTTGTTGTTCTGTGTGGTATTTTTTTTCTCCTTTTTCATTTTTAGACCTTCGTAGGTATAGAGACTGTGGTTTGTAATGGCAGAGTAGAGTCATGTCCTCGGGGAGGTCGGGTGGTGGGGAGGGGGGTAGGGCAAGGGTCAGGGGGCGAGTCGGGGCCCAAAGGGTGTAAAGGGAACAAGGTAGCCTGTAGGTTGAGAATTGGATCATGGAATATAGGGACGTTGACGGGTAAGTCTATAGAGCTGGCGAAGATTCTCCAGAAGAGAAGGGTCAATATAGCGTGTGTGCGGAGACTAGGTGGGTAGGATCGAAGGCGAGGAATGTAGACGGGTATAAATTGTGGTTCTCCGGAGTCGTGAAGGGCAAGAACGGAGTGGGCATTTTGGTGGATAGGGAGCTTAGGGAGTCGGTGGTAGAGGTTAGATGGGTGGATGATAGATTGATGGAGATAAGGGTAATAGTTGGAGGGAGCACTCTGAATGTCATTAGCGCTTACGCGCCACAAACAGGCTTGGACGAGGAGGTTAAAAGGCGCTTCTGGGAGGCGCTGGATGAGGTGGTACGGGGTATTCCGCCTATGGAGAAGCTATTCATAGGAGGAGATTTAAATGGTCATTTTGGGTCGTCTGCTGGTGGCTATGGTGAGGTACACGGTGGCTTCGGCTTTGGTGATAGGAACGGGGGCGGTACCTCATTGTTGGATTTCACTAGAGCTTTTGAGTTGGTGATCGTGAACTCTAGTTTTCTGAAGATGGAGGAACACTTGGTTACTTTCCGGAGTATGGTGGCTAAGACTCAAATTGACTATCTCCTCCTCGGGAGGTGTGATAGGGGGGTTGTGCGAGGATTGCAAGTTGATGAAGAGGAAGAAGAGGTTTGTACGGGGCCAGTCGAGGATCGGGTGGGGAGCTTTGTCTAAGAATAATGCGCAGGAGTTGGAGGGGTGTTGATACCCAAATTTTTTTCTATATGTTTTTAATACACGTATATACTTCCAAAATAGCATATATGCATATATAAGCATGCATAAGCTTTTTTATAATTTTTCTATAATTTATAAAGGCTTTAAATTGATTTATTTCTTCCTTTTTTACTTATAAAATTTTCAATAATTATCCTTCAAATTATTGTTGTGGTAATTTAGCCATCTAAATTCTATATTTATGACAAAAATTGCTTAAATATTTTTAGTACATTTTATATAATTGCATTTACGTTTTAAAGCCAATTTGCATATATTTGCAATACTAGCCTTATTAATGCATAATTATGTTATTAATGCATAAAAGGGTCTTTTATATTTTCAAAATGTTAAACAACTATTTTTAATCATTTTTAGCACACGAAATATTTTTAGAAAATCATTTTATTATTTTAATAAATTATATAGTACTCAAAGTGGCTATTTAAAACTTAGCCTATTTTATTTCAATTTCAGCCTAATTTCAACCCAATCCAATCCCAATACCTAGCCCAATTTCTAATTAGAAATACCCGACCCACACCCCAAATGCCCGATCCAGTCCCCTCACCCTTTAATCCCGGCCGTTGATCACAAAGATCAACGGCGATCATTCCTCCTTCCCTTAATTAAACTACCCTATACCCCAAAAACCTAATTCATTTCCCACCTTATACCACCGCCCTAAAATCCTCTCTGCTCTCAAACACTCTCAACCTAAGCCCTAATCTCCAAATGCCGACTCTCCCCCCCCCCCATCTATGGCCATCTCCGGTGAACTCTCATCATCTCTCATGCCTCCAATTGCCTCTCTCATGTCATTCTTGCCATCTCTAAGGCCCTCAAGGGACCAGGGCCATGCTGACTTGCATCTAGGGTTCATCTCCTGCCTGTTCCTGGCCATTGCAGTGTGATTTCGAGTGAAATCGTTCTATATTTGCTATGATCTATGGGTTTCTAGACATGTTTCTTCATCTCTGTATGGTTCTCTTCGAAACCCTAATTTCGTTTCTAAACAGATCTAGGACGATTTGAGTTTGTTTCTTGTGTGTTTTACAATAGCCTTGAGATTCTTTACAATAATCATATGATTTCAAGTGTTTTTCATCTTTTTCTAAAAATTAGGGTTTTCGGAATTTCTTTTTAAACTTTGTTGGATGATTTTTTGTGTTTAAACTTCTGTTTCTCACATATTTTGAACGATTCTATGAGGCTACTACAACCTTAACTCGCCTATGTTGAAAGCCCTAATTTTTAGGGTTCTTCATTTGGTTTCTAAGTATTAGCATGTCTGACTGGTTCTCGCTTTGATTTCTTATGATTTCTCGTAACTGTCTTGCCTTAATATGCTTCTACTGAGTTTCCTAGTCTAAACTTTCACCGATTCTATGTGCTTGTGTTCATCTTGACTGTTCACATCAAGACCTGTATCTTTCTCATTGAATCAGTATTGTTTAACTTTTGTTTTGCTAGAGTTATATGTCGACTCCTGAGTATCTATGTTTTACCCTATTTATATGCTAAACATGCTGACTCTTTTCATGACTTTCTCTTTGATTGAGCCATTTAATATTCTGAATTCCTTATTTCTTGCGTTGATTTGAACACTTTCCCTTAAACTTTCGATTCTTACCTTTCTACTCGATTTGATTGATTTGCTTGCCTTAATTAATTTTCTTTTACCTTGTCTGCATTATTACTTGATTCTTACTGATTGTTTCCTTAATTAGAACTTTATGCATCTACCCTTAATTACCTATGCTATGCCTAAAGCTTTACTTTATTCTTTTTCTTAAATACCTGGCAAGTTTACCGTTGATTGAACTGTCCCTTGATTAAGGGAAGATCTTGCTGATTTATGGGCGACTTCCCTGATTTACTACTTAATTGATTTATTACCTTGTTTTGTTAAGTTTTTATTCCTATATAAACCTTCTCTTCTTTCAAGTTCAAAGAGGAAAAAAAGGAACTCTAGTTCATCTACATTATTATACTTTCAAAAAACCCTCTACTCTCTTCTGTTCCTTACAATTCCTACTAGTTCAGCCGGTTGTAAGTCAAGGCTGACTACTGGCATTATCTTTACTCTGTATTCTGCATACTCTCCTTAACTGGTATGTTCTGATTAAATTCACATTCCAAGCTATGTGCTTACTTTGTTCCTACAGTTTATCAATCTTGATTCCTAGTTTTATGAGTTATTCTACTTAGATGCAATCAGTATGCCTAGATTACTGTATCACAAAGCATGTTTTAAGCTTATGATTCTATACTGTTTAGTATGACCAAACCCTACTTGTTCTAAAATCTTAAATGCTTTCATGAAATGTTTGTCTGGTACAGTTTGTTCTAATGTAATTCTGTTTGTGTCTTAAACCTATGTGTTCTCAACTTAACTTTGTAACTACCACCTATGTATTTGATTTCCATCACTGAGGTGTATGCTAGGTGTTCCCCCTACCTCTTTCCCTTATGTGAGATTTGTTCTGAAGCTGTATGTTCTCTAACCTGCTATCTGACTATTTTAAAATGTCTTCTTAAACTATTCCTACTCTTAACTCTGTTCTGACTTTCATAAAAGTTCTTTCTGCTACTAAGACTTTTTTCTCTGTCTACCAAACTCTTTCAAAGTCATTATACACTCCCACATTACTCCTAGAGTATTAGGTTCTACCCCTCTGGCATGTGTACTGCCTTGAGATCCATGAGATTTCTCTGAACTCTGGCATGTTGATTATCGCGCAGCGGACTCAACCTTAGGAAGAGTGGGCGCTAATACTTTTACCCAATAGTGGTGTCGGGGTCAATTTCCACAGGGAGCTAGAAAGGGAGTCGGATATTTGCTTAGCCTAGAAATGCGTGTTTGCTTCTAATTGATCTTCTATCATTTTTGGGTTTTTATGATTATCAACTACAATTTAACAACTACTAATTATAACTAAATTATG